TGAGAGGACAGTGTTACCCTCACCACTGGCCTAGTGTCCAAATGCCTGTGAATGCCAAAGCTGGGAATACTGTCCATGCTTCCCAGCCTTGGCAACCGTCACTATTGCCTTCAGGATCTCCATCAGCAGGATGAGTAGCCCAAGCCAGGAGTCGAACCCAGCCACTCCAGCCCAGCTGGTGGCTAAACCATTGTGGTCGAATGTCTGTTCTCATCTGTGAGTTTAAGATTTCTTGTCTTCCTGATGCTGAGATTTAGAAGCCAATTTGTCTTTGTGAACATATTTGTGTTATAGTACAAAGATCCAAATTTCAGTATGCACAGAAGTGGATGTTTTAAACATTTGTAGTAGTTGTTTATCTTTTTGAAGTCTTACTTTGCAGTTATATTACTGGTATTCTCTGACCTGTACATTGTTTACTAGTAGAAAAGTAATATTTGTTATAGCACAGAAAATAAGTGGTGTGTGTGTGGGTGCGCATGCATGTGTGTGTTTAAAGACCAGTTTATTTATTTGAAAAGCAAAGTTACAAAGAGAAAAGGAGAGACATATAGAAAAAGAGACAGAAAGAAATCTTGTGTCCACTGGTCCTTCTCCCCCAAATGGCAGCAGTGACTGGCTGGGCCAGTTTGAAGCCAGGAGCCGGAAACTCCATCTGAATCTTCCCCTTGGGGTGGCAGAATCCACCCCAGGAGCATTAACAGGGAGCTGGATGGGAACTGGAGCAGCTGGGATTCCAACCAGTACCCTAATGGGATGCCAGCATTGCAGGTGGCGACTTAACCCGTTGCTCCACAAAGCCGACCCCTGCTGTCTCCCCTTGTTAGTGATGGCTTAGTGATGGCTGGAGTGTGGTCTTCCAGTGAGGATGAAGCAGTGACTTTCAGATTGGGACCCCACTGGCAGCAGGGCATTTGGGATGAACACAGTTCTGAGGTATCCCAGCTGTCTGTCCATGTGCTTCTTGGAGTGCCTGCCTTTACTGCCTCACCGCTGTGGGTCTGTGGGCCCAAGGGTCTGCATATGAACAGGGAGCAGCTGAGGCTTGAACTAGTGCCCATGTGGGATGCCAGTGCTGCAGGCAGCAGATTAACCCATTGCATCATAGTGCCTGCCTGATTTCAAACTTAATACAACTTCTTAATATTCAGTAGAACTAATAGTTCTACTGAACTTGTTTGTAACTCAAAGTCGCCCAACTTCTGTGCTTCCAGTCAGGTAGGGTGTTTTTTTGTTTGTTTGTTTTATTTTGTATTGGAAAGGAAGAATTTTACAGAGAGAAAGATCTTCTGTCCATTGTTTCACTCCCCGTGTGACTGCAACAGCCAGAGCTGTGCTAATCCAAAGCCAGGAGCTTCTTTCGAGTCTCTGAATTTTTTTAAAATATTTTAATAGCAGGTCATACAAATCACAAAAATATAGCAATTTGAGGCATTTAAATTTGAACGGACAGAATCTGAAAATTTAGAATAAACTCTGATTGTATTGTGGCCAGGTGAGCATTCCCAATGAAGTGTTTTACATTCCTGAATGTAATGTGTTGCATGCACTAGTGAACATAATGGGAAAAGAAAAGTGTCATAAAAAGCTAAGTACCAAGTAACTAGCTAGAAAAAGCTTTTAATGGGAGAGCTGGTGCAGTCATTAATGTGGTAGAAGAGTACCTGAGGAAATGATTCCGTACGTTAAGCTACAGGTTTTCATGTTTTGTTTTGGTTATTAAAAATCAAGATAGGAAATTCAAAATCAGCACTGAAAATGGTGAAATGGCTTTCTGCAGGGTAATTAGTATAAACAGAGTTGGAATGTGTGACTTGATTCTGAAACATAATAAAAGAATGACTTGAGTAAGTCTGGTCTTACTGATAAAGTGGATGGTAGTTGGAGATGCACTTAGCCGCTAGGCCTTAGCATGAAATATGCTTGTTGTCCTTACACAATTCAAAAGGTTAATTTTTGGTTGAGTTTGATTCAGTATTCCTCTGATTACAAGTTTGCTGTTGACAGCCTTGCAGTAGCTTTCAGACCTTATAGACTGAGGCTCAGGTTTTTTTTTTTTCCAAAAAGCATGATTTTTTTTTTTACTTCTTTTTTAAAAAAAATTATTATTATAATTTCATCATACATTTCCATAGGCCCTGGGATTTACCTTCTGCCTCTCCCCAAATCCTCTACTGCTCCACTCAGTTCCCCTATATTATTAGTATAGTATAGTTCCTCATAAACGGTCATATGTCCATCATTGAGGGCTTGGACAATGGCAGAGAGTCCAGCATCCTCTTGTCAAGATGTAGCTAACAGTTTCATTGGGAGTCTATCTTTGATCTGCATTGCATCCTCACATTTGGATATGGTCGTCTCCATTACACAGTTACTATACATCCCCTTAAATGAAAAGTCACAATGCACAATCAACAACAGAAAGGAAAATAGAAATTAAAAACGCCATGAAGTTAAACAACATGCCACTGGATATGATAGTCTCCATTACACAGTTACTGTACATACCCCTAAATGAAAAGTCACAAAATAAAATCAACAACAGAAAGAGATAAAGGAATTAAAAATGATGTGAAATTAAATAACATGCTACTGAATGACTAATGTGTCACTGAAGAAATGAAAAAGATCAACCTTCTTGAAGAAAATGATGCTATTGTATGATCTGTGAGTCAGTGAAGAACTTAATAAGAGTTCTGAAGAGAAAGAAAAATCAAAATCCATGAGATATAGTTTCTGCTGATTTTTGTTGGTGAAATGTGTCTCTTGTAGGCAACCAATAGATGGGATTTATTTTTAAAAGCCATTTACATTCAGGGTTGAAATGAATGGGTGGTAATTTGGTCCTGTCATTTTAGTAGTGGGTTGTTCATTGATTTAGACTTCTGTTGTTATTTTACTGGGATGTTTGTCACATTTGCCTTTGGTTTTGGTGGGTGCTATTCCTCTTTTCTATCAAGAGAACATTTTTAAGTATCATTTGTAGAACAGGTTTGGAAGAAGCATATATATATATATTTACTTTACTGTGGAAGAGTTTTATTTCATTTTCAAAGACAAAAGAAAACTTTGGGTACATTATTCTGGACCGACAATTTTTTTCTTTTAGAATCTGGAATATGTTGCGCCATTCTCTTCTGGCCTATAGAGTTTCCTGTGAGACATCGGCTTTGAATCTGATCGCCATTGCTTTTTATGTCAATTGATTTTTCCCATGTGCACATTTAAAGATCTTTTCCTTATGTTCAATTGAAGAGAGTTTGATTTTCGTGTGTTGTGGTGAAGATTGGTTTTAGTCAAGCCTGTTGGGAATTCTGTGCCCCTCCTGGATGTTGTTTCCCAATTCTTTCTTTAGAATAAGGAAAATTTCCCTTACTATTTAATTAAATACATTTGTAAACTCAGTTTCTCTTTCTGTACTTTCTGGGAGTCCCGTAACTCTTTACTTGGCCTTTTAGTAGTGTCTTTCAGTTCTTGAATACTTGTTTTAGTTTGACCCAGCTCTGCTTCCAGCTTTTTGTTTCCTCCTGGTGACAGGAAATATCTTCCAATTCTGACATTCTTTCTTCTGCTTCCTTCATTCTATTTTGGGGACGTTCTATTGTACTTTTAATTTGCTCCACTGTGTTCTTAATTTCTGATATGTCAGCTGATATGCCTCTGTCTTATCTTCTTTCTTTCTTTTTTTTTTAAGATTTATTTTTATTGGAAAGTCAGATACACAGAGAGGAGGAGCGAGAGAGAGAGGGAGATCTTCCATCTGTTTATTCATTCTCCAAGTGATTGTAGTGGCCGGTGCTACACAGATCCAAAGCCAGGAGCTCTTCCGGGTCTCCCACCTGGGTGCACGGTCCCAAGGCTTTTGGCTGTGCTCAACTGCTTTCCCAGGCCACAAGCAGGGAGTTGGATGGGAAGTGGAGCTGCCAGGATTAGAATTAGTGCCCATATGGGTTCCCGGCTGTGCTCAAGATGAGGACACCGTACCAGGCCTCTGTCTCTTCTTTTGCTCTTGGTCATTGTACTTCTGGTTAGCAGATTCTTCTGCTTGGGGTAGGTTTCTAAGCTGTGTCTATAATTCAAATTTACTTATTGTGATTGGTACACGGCAAACAAAGAGCCACTCCCTCCAGCGAGTTCCAGGTCTGGATTCCTATGTTAGATTTCCACCATGGTCTCCTTAGCCCCCTTCCTGGTTCACCCCCTGTGATACCATGCTGAGACCGCACCGTTGTGTGTACAACTTTTCCCCCACTTGCAGTTCGAGCAGCTCCCAGGATTAGGGAGACACCAGGAATCCTATATAATTAGGTTGTTGTTGATGCTGATCTTGCCGGAACCTGTTGGCTGTTAGGTCTGAGGGCCACACGGACCTATTTTGACACATAGGATGCCATAGTTGGTGTTATTTTCTCTGTGGGACCAGTGCAATGTACTGAGCTCAGTGAGTTCTCGCCGAGCTCAGTGCATGTGCAGCTAACTGTTGCCGTTGCAGTCTTAAAGCTTTGTTTGCCACACTGTACAAAATGGCGCCTTGTGTGCTACTACTGGAGTACTAGATCTGCTGGCCATCAGGTCTGAGGTCTACCGGAACCTGTCTTGGGTGGAACCTGTAGGATGTCATGTTGTTGTAGTTCACTGAGTCAGAAATGAGTTCACTTCCAATTCAGTGCATGCACAGTCCTGTCCCATAGTCTTTGTCTCCCTACACAAAATGGCTCTTGATTTGGCTTAGTGGACTTACTGGGTTGTGAAATCCGCTCTGGGCAGTGAATTCCACCACCTGTCTGGGACCTGCCACTCTGTCTCTGTTCTTGGTCAAATAGACCAGCAGGATGGGCAGTTCTTTGGGTTCACTTCCTGAGCTCCCGGTGAATGTTCCTTCTACCGCTTTGCTGATGGAGTTCCTGCTGCTGATGTAGTTCAGATTGCCACTCGCTAAATGCTGCTGGGGTATTGGTCACTGCAACATCACACTGTTGTGTCCGCTGCTTTCCTGTGTCTGTCAGTCTCCAGGTGTTCTTTTGCTGTTGTTCTGTCCTCTCCTATTTTCTGGAATGTGTCCTCTCTGGTTCACACTGACTAATGTTTCTCTGGCTGTTTAAATGTGGGTTTACTCTGTTCCACTATTCTGATTCCCTGAGGCTCAGTCTTTTATAAAAAGGCTGGCATTGTGCTGGTGCAGTGGGTTAAGTCATTGCCTGTAACACTGGAACCCACAGGAGTGCCAGTTGGAGTCCTATGCTGCTTGGTGGCTCTGTTGTGCATAATTTTATTTATTTCTCTTCATATTCCTCTTAAGCCCTCCCATAACACATTGTCATATTTATTTTGTAGATGAGAAAATCTAGGGAGCTATTTTTGTTGAATGATGTTTCTAAGAAAAAGATCCAGTCAGAAGGTGTGGTTGTGTATCACTGAATGTATCACTCAGGCTTTCTTAGGTGTATGAACATAATTAGAAAAGTCATAGGAAAGTAACTGAACTCCCAAGAGAAAGTGATGGAAATAAAATTATAGTAATTAACTATGTCTGTCTCTGACAGGTTATATGTATCAAAAAATGTCCTCAGTCAACATTGTGCAGTAGATGCATGGTGGGCGTCTGGTAAGATTCCTTAAAAATGTGTCTGGAAAAATAGAATGAAAAATTTACTTTGATTGTAGGGATTTTGAAATCTGTACATAATTTTTCATAATATGCATTTCCATGAACCATTTGTAAGTCTATCAGAATCGTGTATTTCAATTTTTTGTACCAGAATAAACCTTCAAATTCTGCTTATTTATTAGAGAGGCAGAGAGAGAGAGCAAGTGAGCCAGCTCCTATCTGCTGATCCATTCTCCAGTGCTGCCACAGCTAGAAATGTGTCAGGCTGAAGCAGGGAACCAAAAACTCCATCCAGGTTTTTCCTTAGTGAGTGAACCCAACTAGAGATCACTGCTGCCTTCCAGGGTCTGTGTTATCAAGAAGCTGAAATTAGGAGGTGGATCCAGACACTCTGATGTATGCTACAAGGGCAGCTTAACAACTTAAAAACAAATGCCCTTTACTTTTGTTTTCTGTAACTTAGGAGTACCTTCATAAGTAGTACAAATTTTTTGAAGGAAAAAAAATTTTTTTTGGTAAGCCATGTTAAAAAAAAAGCTAGAAATAATATAATTATCTTACATATCAATGTATCTAAATATTATTTGAACATATAAGCAATATAATACTTATAAAGGCATACTCATTTTTTCAAACCCAGGATATTTTATCCTTACCAATGTCTTAACTCACACCAGCAACATTTCAATGCAATGTGTTACTGTGTGTACCTGTCAGAGTCTTTAAAAAAAAAATTCATGGGAAGTGTATATTACGAAAAACTACAAATTTGAAAAATTTTTGCCCCGGATCAACTTGTACTAATGTGATGTGACACTTCTGAACAGGATCTAGTTTGAAGCCCCGGGAAGGTTGAGGCACTGGTTTTGAAAACATCTCCTATTAGAGTAACCAGAACTCTGCTGCAAGGAAGCAATGGCAAACATCAGATTTATGGTGAAGCTTGGGGTGGAAGCATAATGAAATCACTGGCGTTTTATATACAGAAAGGGAAACGGGACACTTCCCCAAAGAAATAAGTGTTTTACAAAAGGATTATGTTGAAGATGAAGCTTGCACTCCTAACTAAAGAGGACTGAAAATTAGTAACAAATAACCAAAACCATAGACTGCTCAGTTGATGCAGCTTATATATTTCTTGCTGAAAAACTCAAATTAAGCAAACTGTGCTTGATAGGTGCAAAATCTGTTGCACCTTAGTCAGTGGCAGACTTAAGCAGGGCTTTTTGAAGAAGGCTTTAAACATGTGAGATCAAGATCCTGAAGGATTTGTGCCAGGAGTTAGGACAGGAGCTGAAACATGACTTTACCATATAATCCTAAAGACAAAGGATGGACAACCACTCAAAGGAGTGGTTGTCAGCAGCTGGAAGTGGTTTAGTCCAAACAAAAGTGCAACTGGCTGAATTTTAAAGGTCAATGCAACAGTAAAACCTGAGTGGGAAAATGCCTGGGAAAGCTTCACCACTCTGATGGCCCTGCTCACTCCTGTCATCAGACAAGGGTTAGGGTTGCTGGTATTTTCATGGGAAATCCTTAATAACCTCCTCACTATTGTGATTTGCCCCTGATTTCTTTTTGTTTCTTAATCTTTAAAGGTTACCTGTTTTTCTTCAGTTAATGATGTGAAAGAGACTGCATTGCCATGATTAAATCCCCGGGACTCTCAGTTCTTTAGGGATAGGTTATTGTGGCTCACAAAAGTGCCTTGAATATGATGGATCTTATGGTATGAAGTTTGTATTTACTTCTGTCTTTGAATTCCATTTTCCTGTAACTTTTTGAGAACACTTGTACCACTGCTGGCCAACTCAGCTCTGAGGTTTCCAATGTGTTTTATTTCTGAAAGCTAAGTATCTCTTGTTAGAACTATTCTTGAGTCAGTTTTTCCTACTGTCTTTAGAAGTTGGAGACAGACGCTTCATTGTCCTGTTATTAATGATGAGACTGCGTAATTGCAGGCATGAGTAAAATTTGAATCTATGTTCTTTTCCTCAGTTTCAAGTTGCAGAAAATGTATTCATGTTAAGGCAGAAAATGTATTCATGTTAAGATTTTCAATTGCAGTATTAATGCTTGTTCATAACCAAGTTTGGAAAGCCGGTTTTTCTACTATCCAAAAGTTAATACTGATGATATTTTAATTAATTTTCCTTTGAAGATATTTATTTGAAAGGCAGAGTTGGAGAAAAGACAGAGAGAGAGAGAGAGAGAGAGAGAGAGAGAGAGAGAGAGCAAGAGTGCTTCCACCTGCTGGTTCACTCCTCAAATGGCTGTAATGACTGGGGCTGGGCCAGGACCAGTGCCAGGAGACAGAAGCTTCAGCCAGGTCTCCCACTTGGTTAGCAGGGGTCCAGGTGTCCCCGTTGCGCTAACAGGGAGTTAAATCAGCACTGAAGCCCGAACTGGCAGCTCAGTTCATGGTGGCAGAGATGAGATTGCTTGTTACCATTGCTGCTTCCTCAAGTATGCGTTAGGGAGGATCTGGAGCCGTGTGTTGAAGCCACTACTACAGTGTAGGTTATGGGCATTTTAACTGGCATTAACCATGGCTAAACGACCACTCGTAAGTGGTTTTATTGAGATATAATTGATATACAGTAAACTGCATTACTTAATATAATAGTACAATATAATGAATTTTTACATATTTATGCTCGTAATCCATAAAACCATTGCCAGAATTAAGACAAAGTGTTTTTTTATTGTTTTCCTAAACTCTTCTTCCAGTTGTTTAAATCTCTTTTCACTGCATTACAACTTTTATTTTAAAATATTTACTTATTTTTATTCAAGGCAGATTTACAGAAAGAAGCAGGGTGGTGAGACGGAGTCTTCTCTCTGGTGATTTACTCTCTCAGTGGCCCTGGAGCTGAGCCTGTCTGGAACCAGGAGCCAGAATCGTCCTCTGGTCTCCCACATGGGTGCCGGGGCCCAAGCACTTGGGCATTCTCCATTGTTTCCCAGATCGTAATCAGAGAGCTGGGTTGGAAATGGAGCAGCCAGGACATGAACCAGTGCCGATATGGGATGCCAGTACTACAGGCAGAGGATTAACATGCTACACCACTATGTTGATTTCTGTATTACAGCTTTTAAGTATTCTTCCACTTTGGGTATATCTCTGTTGGAGACTTGAGCATTCACCCAAGTTGTGGTAACTTTTTTGGTTACTGTCCAGGCAGAATATCTCCCTTCACTCTCATTTTGGGCATTCCTCTAACCTCCTGCTGATGTTAGATCCTGTTTCCAGATTCCCATTTGTTTTTCTTGATCTTCTCACTTGTTTATGAATACACACCTTGGAAAAGGGACACTGGGGAGGTAAATATAATTTTGAATCTGCACATCAGGAAATGTCATTTTTTTCATCCTATTTCTCTCTTTTTCTTATCTATTTGTTTGGATGCTAGATTGAAATAGTTTCCTTCAATTGTTTTAAAGGCATTGCTCTTATTTTCTTGCTTTTAGTATTGCTGATAAAGTCGGAAGTTAGTTGGATCATCTGTGCTGCACCACACTGCTGAAGGCCCCTTTTTTTTTTTTTTTTAATTGGAACAGCAGGTATACAGAGAGAAGGAGATAAAGAAAGAAAGATCTTTAGTTCACTGGATTATTCCCTAAGTGGCCACAATGGCCGGATCTGCGCCAGTATGAAGCCAGGAGTTTTTTCTGGGTCTCCCAAGCAGATGCAAGGTCCCAAGGCTTTGGGCCATCCTCTACTGCTTTTCCAGGCCACAAGCAGGGATCTGGATGGAAAGTGGAACAGCTGGGACATGAACTGGTGCCCATATGGGTTCCCAGCAAATACAAGGCAAGGAGTTTAGCCATAAGGTTATAGCCTGTAACACCCCCCTCCCACCCATTTTTCAAGTGCATAGTTTATCCTTTTAAGAGTTTGAAAGAGGACTGTTTGGATGGAAGTTTCGCATTAGAGAAAAGGTTTGCAAAAAAAAAAAATTCTCTTATTTTGTTAGATTATTATCTCACTTCTTTAAAGTGCTTGGTAGGTTTTAACTCAAATTAGGTCTGTGATTAGTTTAATGTTGGTGTTTCTGCTTTCTGTTTATTACATCATTGTTGAAAATACAGATGTTTGGGCTTCTTCAGCCTGTTACTCTGCATGTCCCTCGGGATACCAGGACCACACTATCTTGACTCCTGTAGTAAGTTGGGGATGCCAAAGCATGATTTCTCCAACTTGATCTGCTTTAAAATTGCTTTCAGTTCAGAAGCTCTTGAATTTACATATGATTAACAGCCAGTCACCTTTTCTGCAACAGGGGCAGTGTATTGGGGCTGTGGGTTACGGATTGTATTGAATGTAAATTAGTTTGATGAGTATTATCAATCATCTGAACAATATTAAGTCTGTACCATGAGCCGTGAATGTTTCTCCATTTATTGGATTGTCTTCAGTTCTTTGGGGCCTCATTTGTTCTCCTCCATTGTCCTGGCTAGAACTTGAAAAGTCTGTTAAAAATAAATGGCATCTTTCTTTATTCTTGAAATCCATAAGAAAACATCTCAGCCTTTTACCACTAGAATGAAGTATAGGGTGTTTAGTAGCTATGATCTTCCCTAGATTTCCTTTATCAGATTGAAATTGTTATATTTTAAAAGAGGTAATACATTTTTGCCAGAGAATTCAGGTTTCTTGCTGAATAAGGGTTTTTGTTTCCTCATATCTTTGTAGGTTCTCAAATGTGATAATATTTGGTGGTCTACTGTTTAATAATTACTGTTACTGTGAGCTCTGAATATGGGTGGGCTGGGATTGTTAACAAACTCCATTCTCAAGTGAAGAATGACAGAGATTTCTACCCCTCCACCCCACCCCAAAATGAAAGAATGGTAAGAAATTTTATTTTGGGATAGTAACTTCTAATTTCTTCCACATAAGGTTTTGATATCTATAAAACCTTAATTTCCCCTCTTACCTAAGGATAAAGTTCTCAGACGAGCATTTTTCTGTGTTTTGAAATGGAAATCACCAGGAGAAAAATCTTTTGTACATCCCTGTAAGTGTTCAGAAGTCAGAGCTGTAGTCTCTGCCAACCAGAAAATTGAGCAGCCTTGAACCTTCCCTTCCATATTTTCTGCGAATAAGGAAAATGAGATGGTGGTGGAGAAAGTTGTGGAAATGGGAACTGAACATGACACTATGGTTTTAGAGGGAAAAGATAACCTGAGCGTCCTCATACTTGTGAGTTTGTTTTAATGACCAATGGGAATAGTGATTACGGTAGTAAGTAAAAAGGCATATTTTAAATAAAAGCATTAAGTAAATATTAGATCCAGTATTCGTTTCAGAAAAAAAAAATCAATGTAAAATGCTGAGCAAATGACAAGTTTGAGAAGCCTGTGTGCTAAATAAAATCTTACTGAAAACTAGCAGTTCTGTTTATAGGTAACATTGTGTTAGAATCTGACTTCTACACATCTGGAAGGTAAAACATTAATTGCAAAGTTTGTTCTTGTTCAATATTTTAGATTTTTTTAAAAAATTATTTTTATTTGAAAGTTATAGATAACGGGAGAGGGAGAAGCAGAGAAAGATCTGCTCACTACTGGAATGGTTGCAAGGCCAAAGCTGAGCTGGCATGAGGCTGGGAGCCAGGAGCTTCTTCCATGTCCATGTGGGTACAGGGGCCATCCTCTGCTGATTTTCCCAAGCTGTTAGTAGTGAGCTTGATTAAAAGCGAAGCAGCCAGAATTTGAACCAATCCCCATATGGGATGCCAGCGTTGTGGATTGTGGCTTTACCCCATAATACCACCAACCCCCAACTCCTACATATCCCCTTTTAATAAATTTATTTATTTATTTGAAAGTCAAGAGTTTAGAGAAAGAGGGAAGAGAGAGACTAATGAGAGAGATCTATCTACTGCTAACCTCTCCAGATAGCTGCAACAGCCAATGCTGGGCCAGGCTGATGCCAGGAACCAGGAACTACTAAGGTCTCCCATATTGGTGGCAGACACATTGGGCCATCTTCTGGTACTTTCTCAGAGTGCTGGTTTGGAAGTGGAGCAGCCAGGGCAAGAACCAGTGCCTGTGTAGAGTGTTAGTATTGCAGGTGACGGATTGGCTTCTATGCCACAGTGTTGACCTATGGTACTGATTTCTTAAGGAGTTTAAAGGTTAATACTGAGGCTGCAGGTGATGGTGCAGTGGTTAAATCCTTGCCTTGCAAGCTCTGGGATCCTATTGGTGGGTGCCGGTTCATGTCCTGGCTGCATCACTTCTCATCTAATTCCTTGCTTGTGGCCTAGGAAAGCAGTAGGGGATGGTCCAAGTCCTGGACCCTATACCTGCGTGGGACACCTGGAAAAGGCTCCTGGCTTTGGATTGGCTCATCTCTGGCTGTTGTGGCCACTTGGGGAGTGAACCAGCAGATGGAAGATCTTTCTGTATCTCCTTCTCTCTGGACTGTTGTATTGATTTCTAAATGAAAGTTATATGATTCTATATAAACAAAAGCCATAGTGTCAAGATGGACAGTGATGGGTTCCAGTCCCTGCTGCTCCTTTGTGATCAGCTCCTTGCTAATGGCCTAGAGAAAAGTAGTAGAAGATGACTCTACCTGTCTAAGTGCATGCCACCCACGTGGGAACCCTAGGTAAAGCTCTCCTGGCTTCAGCCTGGCCCGCTCTGGCCATTGTGGACATCTGCAGAGTGAGCCTGTGGATGGAAGATTTCTCCATCTTTGTAACTCTAATTTTCAAAATAAAGAAATTCATCTCAATTGATTAATCCCCTTCAAGTGCCAGGATCCCATCTGGGTACTAGTTTATGTCCTAGCTGCTCCACTTCCTACTCAACTTTCTGTTTGTGGCCTGGGAAAGTAGTAGAGGATGACCCCATGTGAAAGACCAGGAAGAGGCTCCTGGCTCCGGATTAGCTCAGCTTTGACTGATATGGCCTTTTGGGGAGTGAACAAGTGCATGGAAGATATTTCTGTCTCCTCTCTGTAAATCTGCCTTTCCAATAAAAATAATGGATCTTTAAAAATTTAATCTTAAAAAAAGCAGACAAGGGGTCCCGGTGCAGTAGCCTAGTGGCTAAAATTCTCGGCTTGCATGCTCTGGGATCCTGTTTGGGTGCTGGTTCTTGTTCCAGCGGCCCCACTTCCATCCAGCTCCTTGCTTGTGGCCTGAGGAAGCAGTCGAGGACACCCAAAACCTTGGTTACACATGAGAATGACCAAATTTCATGGATAATTAGGTTATTTTAAGAGATCCCAAGTGAGATAAATAAAGATAATCACATTTATATAAAAACTAGAATATTGGGCCTGGCGCGGTGGCGCAAGTGGTTAAGGTCCTCACCTTGCACGCCCGGGATCCCATATGGGCGCCGGTTCTAATCCCGGCAGCCCCGCTTCCCTTCCAGCTCCCTGCCTGTGGCCTGGGAAAGCAGTCGAGGACGGTCCAAAGCTTTGGGAACCTGCACCCGCGTGGGAGACCCGGAAGAGGCTCCTGGCTTCGGATCGGCATAGTATCGGCCCGTTGCGCTCACTTGGGGAGTGAATCATCGGACGGAAGATCTTCCTCTCTGTCTCTCCTCTTCTCTGTATATCCGCCTTTCCACTAAAAAAATAATAAAAATAAATCTTTAAAAAAAAAACCTAGAATATTGATAAGTCCAGTTGAGTCATTCCTGAGTACATACACAATTTTGTAAGAATTTGAAAATGTGCAGTAGCATGAGAATGCCATATTCTGGGCAGGTGATAGCTCTGGGGAGAAGGAAGAGCATTGCTGGTGGTTACGCAGTCTCTGTTGGTGGGTGATACACGATCCCCAGTGGATGCCGGGCACTGCGTGTGCGGTGCTGTGCCCTGCCTACCAGTGGTACTGTTGTCTTTTGGGAACTATTTCTGGAATTCTCCTTTTAGTACATTTGCTCCATGGTAGACTGTCGATAGTTGGAACCATTTTAAGGAAGACCATGAAGAAGAGACTACTGTATTATCTCATAGAAAATCAAATAAGGCAGAAACATTAAGCAACCAATATGGAAGATACATATATGCATGTCTGTTTATTCTATACTCCTGTACACCTAAAAGTGTTTACATAAATTTCAGAATATTTACATTCTCCATATACTCGTTGCTTGATCATGTAAACTCCCTTTTTACCCTCCACAGGTTTGTTTATTTGGAAGGCAAAGTGACAGAGGGATAGAGACAAAGGTCTTCATTTTGGTGGTTCACTTTCCAGATGGCTGCAACAGCTGGAGCTGGTTCAGGCTGAGAGCACAGGCCCAGAACTCTGGGTCTTTCCTTTGCGCGGGTGGTAGGGGCCTTGCACTTGGCCGTCTTCTGCTTTCTCAAGTAGATCAGCCAGAATATGCATGTGTGTATTTTTACTTAACAGTTGGAATTAGAACACAAAATTCCTTTAGTCACCTCTGCTGGATCTCAGGTTCTGAATATACTAACTTCTTGTGGTGGTTTCTTCAATAGCCTGTTTGCTAATAATGTAAACAAGACCAAGTGTCGGTTGCGTTTGCTGATATAGTCTGGGGAATAAGAATCACTGTGAGTAGGATAGCCAGCATTAAAATAATGTTTTTAATGTGTATATTTCCATGGTTTTCAAAGAGCACGTAATATGCAGTACGTTATTTGAATAATTCTTAGTCAACAAAAATGGTGTTTCTGTTTTATAGGAAAGGAAACTAGAACTGTTGGCAGCTGCTTTGGAGTTCCTCATATCTTGTAGTGAGTTTTGTTTTGGATAGTATTGAGAATGAAGTGACTTTGAAATTTAGATTTGATGTAATAGTAGTAGTAGTCGTTTTCAGATTTGTTGTTAACGAAAAGCTCCCTCCTGTGGAGATTGAGTTGCTGGGTTTAGGGTGTCGGGCAAGAATCCTTGTGGTTTACAGCTTTGGGGATTTACTGTATTGAGATTTTGATCAAAATGTCAGGGCTGGTGTGAGTGCTCTGTGGGATAATCCTCAGCCTGCAAGTACCCACCGCTCCACTTCTGATCTGGCTTATGGCCATGGAAAGCAGCGGAGGATGTCCCAAAGCCTTGGGACTCTGCACCCATGTGGGAGACCCAGAACCAGCCCGTGGCTCCTGGCTTTAGATTGCTCAGCTCTGGCCGTAGCTGCCATTTGGGGAGTGACCCAGCAGATGGAAGATCTTCCTGTCTGTTTCTTCTCTCTCTAAATGAATCTGTCTTTCCAATGTAATTAAATCAACCTGAAAAACAACAACAAAATCGAGCTGATAGGAAAAGTATTTTAGGAAAAAAAAAAAAGCAGTGCACAAATTATCTATACATTTGAAAGGCAGAATCACAGAGAAGGAGGGAGAAAGTCTTTGTCCTCTAATTGACTCCCCAATGGCTGCCCTGGCCAGGGTTAGGCTGAGCAAAGCCAGGAACTCCATTAGGTCTCCAAAAGGGGTGGCAGGGCCCCAGACACCTACATTGTCATCCATTGTTTTCCCAAGCAGCTTAGCAGGGAGCTGGATCAGAATTGGAGCAGTTGAAATTTGGACTGATGCTTAGGAGATGCCAGCATCCAGCCCCCAATGGCAGATTCTTCAGAGTAGTCATTAAATTTTCTTTTTTTGTTTTAAGATTATCTTTCTTTTTATTGGAAAGGCAGATGTACAGAGAGGAGGAGAGACACAGAGAATGATCTTCCGCTAGATGATTCACTCCCCAAATGGCCACAACAGCCAGAGGAGCCAGGAGCTTCCTCCCAGCCCCCACGTGGGTGCAGGGTGCCAAGGCTTTGTGCTGTCTTCAACTGTTTTCCTAGGCCACAAGCAGTGAGGTGAATGGGAAGTGGGGGCCTCCGAGATTAGAACCGGCGCCCGTATGGGATCCCAGGTGTGCAAGGTGAGGAGTTTAGCCACTTGGCTAGTATTCAGTAAATTTCAATGATAATAACTATCTCAGTGTTATAAGTGATGTTGGTCTCCCTTTTGGCAGCCCTTCATTCATAAAAACTTTGGAGAATAGTTTTTATTTTCCCCTTTTCTACTAATAAGTAACATATTTTCCCAAAATGTAAAATTTCCTTTCTAACATAAGCAGAATCTTTGCAAATTTATTCTGTCTTTGTTCACTTTCCCATATCTGCCTTTTTGCTTTCGTTGGAAAGCGTTACTTCAGTGTAAAGTTCTACCTATAATAGTTGAGGTTTAGCTCTATTATTAGCTGCCTTCACATTCAAATTAAAATAACTTCCTGTTTCAATTTAAAAATCCTTCCAAATTTATGGTAAAGGCTGCTTGTTGCTTTGGATTTTGTAAATGATCTAGTGAAAGTTAGTCCTCCTCTAAATGGACTGAGCCAGGTGGAAGCCAGGAGACAGATCTCCCTTTGAGTCTCCCACATGGGTTTTCAGGGGCCCAGGTATTTGGGCGGTCTGTTGCGGCTTTCCTAGGGCACATGAGCAGGAAACTGGACCCTGCACTGCAATGTGGAATACTGATGCTCCAAGCTGCAGC